TATTATGCTTTGGAACAAAGAAATAAAAACGTATGCTGTCATTCAAAAAGTAGTCACCTAAAGAATTTAAAAAACAGTATAAAATATAATTTTTTTTTCAGAAAAATGTGTTTTTAACAACTTGAAATTATTTTAAAAAACGTTAATAGTTTTTGAAATAATGAGTGTCTTGAGTTTCACGAATCACCTGGTATATATATATATATATAATATTCTGAGTACTTATGATAAATTATTATTTTTCTTCAAAGCGAGCTTTACACGATGTTGTTGTTGTTGTTGTTGTTGTTCTTCTTCTTCTTCTTTCAGTTGTACTTTTTGCGTCGTTGGCAGTCCTGGTCCGTATATTAAGTTTTGCCGGGAAGTAGAACGAAATAAAGAAAAATAATGTATAAAAGAGATGATAAGAATAATTTATATCGAGCTGCAGCAGACCGTAATATTATACTATATATATATAAACTTACGGGATTGTGTCGCGGCCTTGTTTATTTTACTGGTGACCTTTTTGTCGAGGGTTTCGGCTGTGCGGAAATTTACATAATCACACACCGTTCAAAACTGCTCGAAATCATATATATGTGTGTGTGTGTGTGTGTGTGTGTGTGTGTGTGTGTGTGTGTGTGTGTGTGTGTGTGTGTGTGCACACCGAACGAGCGTCTTTTCGCTCAACAATTTTTTTGCCACCCCGAAAAGTTTTCGTCTGCCATCACTACGACGTCGCGCGCGAGAACCAAAACGTTATACAATATTATATGTCATATAATTTTAAATTTCTTTTTTTCTTGTCATTTTCTCGGTCGTCTTCGTCTTATGCACATAATATTATGCACGTGTGTATATGGTTTAAGGTTTTTCTATACATGTATATTATAATATATTATCATATGTATGGTGTACACAATGTGTACGCATTTCCCCCCGCGCTATAGGCGCACTATCGCCACTCTCAAAACTCTAAAATTTTTCCAAATATATTATTCTTTTACATAGTATTTTCAAGTCATTACAAGTCGTTTTAGGAAAAAATTACATTTTTTACTCTTTCGAGTGTACACATATGTACATTTCCACGTGCATTTTTAATTTCATATTCTAAAGCAGAATCAATTTTGGAGTTTATTGATCTATAAATAGTAAATACGGGACAATAGTTTATTAGTTACAATTGTAGTAGGTAGGTATTCAATGTAAATATGAGAGGAATAGTAGACCAACATTTTTAACTTTGAATACATACTTATGAGTTATATGACTCAAACTATATAGTATGTAGCCATCAAAAATCCAAATTTCATTGATCTACATCAAAATATCCCAAAATATGTTGTTATTATTATTATATTCTGTTTCGGAGTAAGGAGTTAAAAAAGTATATTATGATAAAAAAAAAAATTTTAAATTTTTTCAAAACGCGTAAAAAGATATTTTCAAAAACGTCGTTGGTTTATAAAATAATGAGTGTTCTATATGTTAAATGTATCATCCGGTATAATAATATTATACAAAGCGATATTTCTCTGGTATTTTCCATCTTCGGCAACTATATTTTCTGTTCAATAAATTTGGAAATAATTCATTTCAATCAATTCACATTCAGAGTCCAGAATATTTACGTAAATATTTTAAAAGTAGATTTTTTGTTCATTTCCGTTGAATACTTCTATTCAAACGTTTATATTATTGTTGATTCAAATGCTTTTAAAAGTTTGTTTTGACTGATTATTATTCTCTCTTATGTAGATATACCTACTGGGAACACATAATTTAAACCGAAAAAAAATATTCTACCTCCCTAAATGAGGTGCCCTCGATTGACGCAATCCATTGACGTTTATTGCGCGTCCATATATATTTTTATACTATTATCCAGCGAGCCTCAATCTACGTACCTATTAATTACAACTTTATATTATTGAAATTTCATTTCACCCGAGCTTATACAAACGCATCAGATAGTACATTTATGAGGTAATTTTGATGAGTTAATATTTTTTAATGTAAGAATTAATTAACTAATACCTAATAAAAATATGTAAAGGCGAAACATTACAATATGTGCCGGGTTTTTTTATGTATCAAATTTAAAAGGAGAAATGTGGTTTTTTTAATTGTAATATTTTATGGGCTTATATGTCATACAACTCATTTTATAGTTAAACTACAAACCAGGGACGTCATTTGGGGGGAAGCAGGGTGTGCGACGGCACCACTAACATAATAGAGTTAATAATTGACCCTCCATTAATGCTCCTATGCGCCGATATGATTACTATTAAAAATTAATAAAATATTCATGCATGTAATATATATTTATTTTTTATCAGCTTTATCATCAAATTCATCCCTATTTGATAACAGTGTGAAGCTCGTTTCATTATATAAGATAGTTCGAACCAGCTATAGTGGTGTAAGCAGTATACATAATATATTAGAACCCGTAGATATCCACCGATTTAAATTTAAAAATAATTAATAACATTTATTTTGTAAGAATATTGAATAGTGTTTAGTTTTTTAAATACATTTATTAAAAAAAAATCCTTTATACCACATTTGCTTTTTATTTCTCCAAATAGTAGTAAAATGGCTTCTGTTGGCCGCTAGTTGCTACCTACTTGTTTTAGTTGCTTATATGCTTTTATTAAAATCCTTCTAATACATTTAACTGCTAGCTATTTGAAAATTACAATATACATAAGTTGATATGAGTAATTTTAATCAGTATTATAAAAGGGAAGGAGATAATATTAACATACTTTAAACGGCATGGTTATTGTTTAAATATTAACTGTTAAAACTGGCCTGCCTAAAATCTTGCACACCAGGGAAAAAAACTGAAATGACTCCCCTGCTACAAACCTATGAGAAAATAAACAGGTACTTTTATAATATATGTTATTATATACCTACCCTATTTTATATATATTTGATGATGGCTGGAACATCTCACTCTGCAATAATTGATGAAACCAAAATGGGTTCCGCTAATCGTAAATTTGTCATGTGGCTAGGAGACGAGGTATACCTAATACCCATATAAATAAAATATAATAACCCATCTATCTAATAATAAATGTATATTTTTGTTTTATATCTTCTTTTTATTATTATTATTATATTGCAATTAATACTCTTCAACAACAATGATTATAACTTTATTGGCCATGAGTAAATGACCTGTATCAAACGTCCTATATAAAAACTATCAAAACATAGGTAAACCAACTCTAAAAAATACCCAATATTTGTTTTATAGGCACGCGATTACCATGTGAATAGATTCTTCTATATTATCTAAACTTAACTATTTGACAATAATACAAAACCAAATAGATGTATGTTCTGACTCACTCAGTGCCTTACCTAATCTGCAATCCAAACTACTAACTGCGACATTGGCTATAATAATTAGTAGATTACCTTCTTTCCAAATCAAACAAAGACATTACACTCATATGGGCCCCAGGATACTGCAACATAAAGGGAAACGAGAAGTCAGATAAATCAGCTTGAAATGAAATTAATAGTCCCGACAGTAAAATAATTCCCTTTTCTTCACTCGTAGACATAAAAAGAAATAAAACAAATACTGCATTTATTTGTGGCACACAAAATGGCACACGACCACGGAAAATAAATTAAGAGAAATTAAGCACTCTGTTGACCTCTGGCCGAAATACACTGATCTGAACAGGAAAAAATAAGATAATTATTAATTGACTAAGAATTGTCCACACGAAACTCATACACGGACACCTTATGGCAAAGACAGATCCACCCCTATTCCCAACATGCAATACAAACTACTCCATCAAACATATCATCATCCCCTGTCCAAACTTCAACGAAGCTAGAAAAGACTTCAACATCCCTGACAACTTGTACGAAGCAATTGGTCCATTTCAAACTATCAAAACATAATTTTATATTTAAAAAAAATAGAATTGTACAATGACATAATATAACATAATGTATAATAGTAATACTCTTGTTAAAGCTAATAACCTGTGAAGTTGAAGCTTAACCAACAAAGAAAAAAAATAATAATACAAAAACAAAATACCAAACTTAGTCATGCTCAATAAATAAACAGTACCTATATAGGTACCTATTTAGTTTCTGGAAATAAATGCGTTCGCGATAATTAATCTTCTACTAACCAATTAACTAATTTTTATTAATTGTTTGGTAAGACACCACATCCGATAACCACTGAAGAAAGTTAAAGAAGTTTTTTATTCATATAATAATGTAGCACAATTGAAACATTTTTATATGAATGAAAAATACCTAAAAACTGTTATAGCTATAATTACAGCTATAAATAAGAATATTTATTTTTATAATAGTTTGAGTATGCTATTTTACCCTATAATCTAGTACAATATTTTTAGATGTGTACTAAAAATTATTAAAATTATCTGAAAACGCTAAAAATTGTCCTAGAGAGTCCAAAAAAATAATGCACTTTACATCAAATGCCGGGCTCTGGCTGTATGTGAAGTATAAGACAAATCTATAATATGCAATATATTATTTACATTAGGCAGTTTTTGTTTATTTGTCAATAAGTTTGAAGTAAAAACTGTATCACTTTGTCTGTCGATCTAATTAATTGTGGTCTCATGATTCGGCTCAGGGTATATTAATATATTATTATTGTTATATTTTCTATATGTCTCATAACGGCGACACTCATGATTAATCTATGTTTCACTGCGTGTTGAGCTCACACAGGTTCGACATGTCGTTTTATACCTTTGTGTTAAATTGTTGATCATAATTAATACAATAGTTTACCTACATGTTTATTAAAACGTATTATTTGAGATATGATTACTCATAACTAAGTTTAAGGGGCGGGGGTGGTCTAGATGATCGCACCACTGATGGAACGTCCTCATCTCGTCACGCAGAAATTAATATTATTCGATAACCTCACTATACCCAGGTACCTATAATTTAAATTATACCGATTTATTGTTTATTTTTTTCAGGGCCCCTGGCGGTGGTATGTTCGGTGACGTAAACATATCGGCGATTCTCGATTCGTTCAGCTTGAGCTATGACAAAAGAGTAAGACCAAACTACGGAGGTGAGTGTTGCCTTTTAACATGATATTATTATTGTTACACTAACCATAATATTATAAAATATTTATTATTAAATAATATCTTATGAATAATGTTGTTTAATTGATAACAATATGATGTTATAATGTTTATATAACTGTCTAGTATAATATTAAATATTTCTGATGAAATCGTCCGAATCGCTTGAATAGATAAATCATAATATAAATAATATTATGTCATATACTGCCGGCTATAATATACCTACTTAACTAAAGTGTAGCGAGTATTTTCCACTCGACTTGGTCTTCGCGTTGGTCTTCGTCACGCGTAGCGAAAATCGATATCGCGATGACTTCGGATCAATAATAATACAAAGATGGCAGAGCAGGCCGTGTAACACTTCATATTATTATCATACACCTGTTCGTATTATTAATATATTATTATGCGACCGGTCTATGTAAAACGCGATTACGCAAAATGCATAATATAGTAGGCATGAAATTGTACTATGAAAATAGATGATACTCTCCTACCTAATAATGTTCAATTATTTATTGATCATATTATAATATTACACATTTTCGTACACGTTATTATAATACGTCTTTTGGATGCGATCGCCAAATGGCTCTAAACCGATGACATATACCTAGGTACTTCCGCAAACACAATTACGTTATAATAGTACGCATTATATTAAATACTATACCATTGATTAAATATACTTAATGTAATAATATAATATATATTTTATGTATATTCAATCAATGACTATACTGCAGTTTGCAGCGTTGGACAGCCGCGATCGTAGTAAATGTGTTTATATCGTCACAAAGGTGGGCAAATTAATGAAAATAATCAACTCAAGTTGAGTTAAGTGAACACAATACCGTTAGTAAACAGTTAGTACAAGTAACAAAAAACAAATTTAATTCACCAAGTTTAGAGTTGATGCGGAATAAAAGATTTATTTAACTCAATTTAAAAAAAAAATCTATGTATCTAACTACTTTTTTAATTAGTACTTACGTAGAACACAAAAAGAGTATATTTTAGTACCTACCTGTATTAAATAATATTATTTCATTAAAAAAATATAACCCTAATTATATTATATTATTAGATTATTTTTTATTTAATACCGTAATTTAATATATTAATGTAGGTAAGAGTAATGCCATTAAAACCAAACATTTCTAAAACATTTGTTATTTTATAACACGGATAAAGAAATGGATTAACAAAATGAAATCATTTGAAAAAAAGTTTAATTATTTCAACAGTCAATTATTAAACTCGTTAAGTTCATAAGTTCGTTTATTAGAAAATCAATCAATTACAGTTAAGTTAATGCCCACCTTTGTGTACAATAATTGGCGATGCTTTATATAATAAAATACTATAAACACCATTGAATATCGATACGGTCCCGAGCTCTAAATATACGAAACGATCGTCTTATTTAGGGGTGCCAATGGACACCCAGTCATCGTCACTCGCCGAACTCGTTGGAATTATACAATATTATATTGTCAAGGCGATATCCAAGTTGTAAATAAAATCTCCAACGAATTTGCGAAAGTAAACGTTTCGATCATCCCGGAATACGATCTCGATAGATCGTCGAGTCCGTCGTGATATTATTTGTAAATTATTAAAAAAACACGCCTTACAAATTGTTCATAAATAACCCACGGGCGATCAATCTCAGTATAAAATATTACTGTCGATGAGATCGATTGCAAAACTCTGTGCTACAGAAATATTAATTTACGTACGATCCGATTTGATATTATTTCTCAGCAAACTCGGGTACTTTTCGCCGTAATAACTTGTTAAATGTAGATAACTGATTTGAAATAATTTACCCAAGTAATGGAAAAAAAAAAATATCTAAACCGAAGAAGTAGCAAATCACTTTGATATCAAAACATTGGCGGGTACTTTTCGTTCAAAAATAATAATTGTCAGGTTTTTGGTGACAACCGATGCGTGCATTCTGGATATTTAACTTGTAATTTGATAGACCGTTTCCGCATACATTAAAAAGTCATTGCACGTTGATGTACATTTGAATAATATTTAAATTGAAAAATGATAAAGTGCAAAGCTCCGCTACCGTAAAATGTACCAAACCGAAAGTTTCATCCTACATCAAAAATATAATATAATATTGGTACAAATCGGTTTTAAACACAGACCATAATTTTTAATATTATTCATTATCGATGATGATAATATCTTATTATTCTATGGAACATTTTAGTTTCAATCCAAATATTTATTATTTTAACTGTTATTATATAAAATTACAAAAAACAATCCAAATAATCAATTATACGCAGAACTTTAAGGACTTGAAAAATTATTTTGACGTAATATTATAAGTTCTAAATTCGACTACCGTAACATTATAATTTATATAATTATTAAATAATTGGTTAGATATCTATATAGATAATAAATAACTACAAACAGTTAACTATGAAAAAGCTGCATTAGGTATATTTTAACTTCTACATATTTTACAGGAATAAAAATGTCAAGATGTAGAAGGGGCTACCCTTGGACTGTAGTAGTGAAGCAGGGGACAGAGCCTTTAGAAAAACATACTTAACATAAAATATTATTGTTTCACATGCACCAACGTGTCATGACCTTTTTCAAAATGTTTGCACAAACTGTGTCTGTAAAATTAAATTGGACGTTTAACAAAAAAACGTGTTCAAACGGTAACCACCGTGGTAGAGTCGTCGTATAGGGTTTGTCGATCCCAAACCGGTTCTTTTCGATTCCGTTTCAGTCCATGGTCTATTTATAAATATTATACATTAGATCGGTGGCGGTGGCCATGACCCGTTTTCGCTTTGCACAATATAATTATGCCATCGCGGTGGAAAGACACACCGTTTCGTATACTGAGTACGGTTTCTACTGCATTTGTAGTGTAAACAATAATAACGTAGACGTGGTCGAGGTACCAACAACATGTTATTATTATTCTATAATATTGTATAGGTACACGCAAACCCGACCACGGGGAGAGAGTTATGTGTCGTCGTCGGTGGAGGCGGTGGTCGAGTCGAGCGTGCACCCCGCGCGAGGGCGTATATAACCTCGCGGTGGTCCCACATCATCTTTGTGCCGCCGAAATCGATTTGACCTGTAGCGCCCGCCGACATCCCTTTCGGCCTCCACCCCCCCCCCCCCCCCACAGCCGCCGCATATATATATATATATTATTGTGTACGTGTACGACTTTAGGTTTCATCCACCCCGCCATCGTTCTATTATTTTTTTTTCATTCCTACTTTTTCCGCCCTTTTTTTTACCGCTTGCAAAGTGCTGCAGCTTAGAAGATCATAACGCGCCCAAAATAATATGTTACCATAACATATTATTATTATTTATAAAACAACGTGCGATTTTTTCGCCAAACATTAGGTACAACGATATCAACTATTATCAAGCTGATGTAATATTAAAATCGGATTAAAAAGCAGACTGCGCGACGACGACCCGCTGATCATAATAATAATAATAATAATAATAATAATAAATATTAATCATAGTACTTACATAATCGCTGTCAAACGCATGATTTACAGGCACTTATATTATAGTATAGGTATGTGACTTTGTGGTCCACAACGCAATTTTTTCGTGACCTTCGAACTAGCATTTTTCTTATGGATTTTTTACAAAAAAATCACTCGATTTACTAAAAAAACAGGCATACAGGATGATTTTTAAAGCATACTCACCCCTATTTTCTTTGTTCTAAAACAGATTTTTGGAACTTTTATACATGCTCAAACACAACATTTATTTAATACTTAAGTTATTTATAGCATTTAAGGAGAGCGGCGGTACAAACATCTGTTTTTCAAACAAAAACCACCCTTTTTTACTTTAAATTATTCAGAAAGTAATTATTTTGAAAATGTTCTTGTATCTAAATCAAAATTATTGGAACGAGTAATTTCCGACTTATTTAACTTTATGCTCTATAAATGTAAATTTAATAATTGTCTATTCGTGTTCTTATTAGGTATAGTTATTATTCAGACAATTACTGCACGCTATTAAATACTAATAGATTAATTATATAGTTTACACCATGACTTAAACATACAAGGTTATTGGAATAATACCTCCACTATATCATTTTATCGTGTCAAGGAATTAAAATGGCATCATAAGGGGAAGACCTATACTGCGGTTATATACCATGATAATATTATATACTAAGATATGGACTGTATCCTTAAGCTGTCATTTTATTTTTGACTGATAACAATATAAGCTACCTATGTGAAATAACCTTGTATATGGTTTACACCTTCCTATATCTTATAGAATCTTTTATCTTACTTTCATAGTAAATATGTGTAAACAAATTGCATAATAATATAATTCATGTTATTTGTATATAAGCATATTATTATCTATTATTGTTAGTGAGTACATAATGTTTAATAAATAGGAAAGTAGGTAAGTATAGGGTACTCGTTTGAATTTTGATATAGATATAGGTACATCAATATTTAAAAAAAAAATTATCTTCTAAATGACTTAAAGTAACAAAAGGTGGCTCTAATTTTAAAATCACAAATCGTATCTTTTTAAAGAAGAAAGGGGATGAGAATGATCGGTGAATCGTCCAGCTTAATACCGTAGAATATTATGAGATCTTTGACAACTGCTCACGATTCTAATCATACGTCTATGCCTCTGACTGCAGTGGTTTTCCAGAATTCGGGGAAGCGTGATATTCGTTTTTTTTAACGTTATAATCTCGTATCATTGTTATCGACCGACGTGAATGTGACGTTTTGAGGTCCACAAACGATTTTAATTGCCGTAAATTACTCGAAATGCTGCACTGATAATCAAGGGCGTTTCTGGATTGGACATTGTCGAGAGGGACGATCCAAAAAAACCGTCTCCTACATTATTATTATGCGGTTTAATGCCCGGATAAACCGTCTATTTATGATATATACTTACCTATATTGTGAACTACCTGCAACAATGAAAACTCGTTCAATCGTCTTCCTTAGAATAGGAAAAACGTAGTATCGATTTGGTGACTGCTTCAGAAATAAGTTATGAGCGTTGTTATCGTAAAAACGTAATTTTATTAATTTTGCACAAAATGTATGGTCGAAATATAAAGGCTGACTTTTTAAATCGTAATTAAAAATATACAAATAAAAAGAAGTATATCCGGAATTATAAAATTTATGAAAACCAATTTATTACATAGGAATTCATTGTTTTTAATCTTTACGGTATTCGATAGCAGTTTTTAAGAATTTGAAACTACAATAACCTATCTTATAACGTCATATTGACATACCGTATTATAATATTATTATTATGACATCGGAATCACAATATTATTTTGTTGATTTTTGTTCAACATTATATCGGTATCACTACTTGGTAGGTAGAGCTTCCCCGGATTTTTGATTCCCTAGTTTTGGTTTTGTGGAGCAAAAACTTGTGTCGTATAAATTTGAAAAATGTTCATAAAAATTGCGCATCAACTATATATGTCTATATACATTTGGTTAGGTGTTTAAATTCGTTGGTGTGGGTGCTGAGACAATATTGTATACGTCTGGTTTTTAGTAGATTTGGCCAGTCTCGATGATAAAAATATTATCACATAATATGAAATTCGAAATCATTATATAGATCAAACCTGACAACTAACATGCATAAACATAATTGTACAGTGACTATTGTTAAGCTCGAGTGCCTGTAATAAGCAAAACTATAGTAATATTTTTATGGAGTTTGTTCAATATTCATTATCATAAGATAAATTACATTCCTATTTTTATTATTATTATTATTATTATTATTATTATTATTATTATTATTATTATTATAAAAATCAACGCAAATAATCGAAACCAATAAAACGTTTTGATATTCTCTGCTGCAGTGAGACTTACCGAATTATCGTTTACCATACATCATGGTATACCTATTGTATACAACAACCATATTAAATAAAAACCGAATTTCGCTTCAATTATAATAAATTATTATTACTATTTACACCGCAGCAGATCGATGTTATTAAAAAATGGGCCCATAACACATACGCCAGCTATTATTATTACATATTATTATTATAGTTCGAGCCGCGTCATGTTCGCTTTTTGAGGAGACGAAATAGGGTGTTCTATCACTATTTATATTTTAATAGTGCGACGTAGCTTATAATACGTTTTAGATGACATTGTGGTTTTTAGTCTAAAAACGTTGACATCTCGTCACACATCAAGTGTACAGACTTAGCTCAAGTTTTTCTGTAAACCAGAAAACTGTCTGTACGAAGAAAGAGTTTATATAAAATATTTTAAAAACAGATTTTTTTTTCATACCCTATTTCACATGTATAACCTAGGTAGAATATTAAACCAGCAGAATACAAGGTTGATTTATTTTTTATAAGATATTCAACTACGCACAGAGGTATATTATATTATTATACGTAGGTATTAAAATATTTTATTTGTGTCTCATAAATTTTGAAAAGTAAACAGCACTTCAACATGGAAAAAAAAGTCACTAGGAAATAGGAATCATTTTAATTTCATTCGTGAAAATACAGGCAATAAAATAATATTGGAAAGTACATTCGATTCAGTTGTATATTATGAGAACAGACATAAAACTAATATGGATATAATGCAAATATAAAAACCTTTTAAAGTGCATTTAACCTCAAATAGTTTATAAAAAAATCCAATTAAAATTCAAAAAAATCTATTGAAAACAAAATAAACTATACTTAATGTTACACATAATATTTAATGTACAAATTAATATTTTAATTAATTAACGCATACATTTAAACTAACACATATTCGTATATTATTATATGAATATAAAATATATTATTAATTTATCTTATCCAATCGTAACCATTTGTTTACTAGGTGCCCATTTGTATATTGTGTTTTGCTTTACTGCTCAGAAAGTATTTAAAAAATACAATGATCTACTTAATGTCCTTAAAATGCCATAAAATAACGATAATATACAAAAAATGTCTAAAATTAAATCTAGAGAAATATAAAAGATAAAAAAAAAATAGAAAAAGATATTCCTACAATTAATATTGAGTATGAGACACTATCGTGAAATTTATGTCGTGCTAAGAAAGTTAAGTCTTACAAAAGGAAGAAAAAAATCTAATTTGTTAAAAATCCACAACCATCAGTGCATTGGATTAATACTCGTTTCGATGTTATGACGTTATGTAGGTATAATATTCTCGTAAGTAATATAATTATTAGGAGATTACCATGATAAATCTAGGTTATATGTGTTCGGAGTTAAATGTAGAATAATTTTCCACGACTATCCTCGGGGTGGAAAATGTTGGTTGAATACGCCATAATAATATTACGCTGCAGTTTAGTTTAGTGTTAACGACGGTTTCCTTTTTCGTGAACAGAATTCATGGCTCGGTCATTGTTGAGCGAAGAAAAATCGTTCGCAGTTTATAAATCGATCGTCACGCGCTTGCAATTGCGCAATATGATATCAAAATATAATCACAAAACGGTATAATATCATAGACGAACTCGCGAGTTCAGACACGATTAAGCTTCAATACACAAACGATGCACTGGTATAATATTGTGAAATACGTCCTATGACCTTGCAGTATAACGTGGCGTTGTATTGTGTGTGTACAAGGCCGTACTTTGTAATGGAGAGGGATAGTTGGGTTCAAGATTTGGTTCAACCCTCCCACGGAAATTTTTTCGGAAAAATCTTTGGACTTAAACATCAGTTTTTTTTAACTTGGATATGTTTTTGGGCAGGTACAGGTTTTATTTTTCAGGCCGATTTCTTGTTACGGTATCTTGGTTTTTCCTAACAACCAATGCATAATTTCATAATTTTATCAAATTATCATAGCAACGTCGATCTCATCTTCATAATAAAAAGTGATTTGAAAATTGTAATTACGACTTGGAATTCTGAACGCCAGAAAGCCGAACCAAGAATATGGCGTATTCTGGGACCAGCACATACCTGTTATTCATTGTTTTTCTAGCACACACAGAAAATGTATCACGCCACGTTTTGTTTACCGAATATTTACAATCTACGTATGCCAAAACACAATAATCAAAAAGATAAAAGTGGTCGATTGTTTCAATGATTATTGCAACAACGCCTCTTTAAACGTCAACTAATTGATATGTTTGAATGAGATTTTTTTTTTTTATATTTCTTTTACATCCCCCCGAACCCCCCACTGACACATTGTTTTAAGTATTATTATTGAAAATTGAGAAAAAAAATATACGGTTACCAATACATAATATAGTCAGTCTCATATAGTTTATATCTGCAACTCCCATTATAGGAAAAAAATAAAAAATAAACATATCATAAAATATATCTACATAAACTTGTTTTAATGTACCGAATTTCAGGTACGCCAATTGAAGTCGGTGTCACCATGTACGTGTTGAGCATCAGCTCTTTGTCAGAAGTCAAAATGGTACACACAAAATATTTACACAACACAAAACAATCATGATTTTTTTTTTTTTTTTTTTTTTTTAATTTATATTTTTGTGCCTATACAATAATATAGCGTATTACACCAAACATTTTTTTACGCGTCATTCTGTATTATTGACAATAAGTAGTGTCTATACATATATTTCTTAAATAAGAGTTGCGTGGTGTTTTGTACTATGAATTACTTAATAACATAATAATGATATTATTATATATTATTTTTATTTCAAGAAAAAAAAAAGTCTTTTTTTTGCGATTGCGATCTTCTTTCCGCTTTGTATTACCTACGTATTATTCTCCGCTAGAAAGAACGCTATAGAAGCACGCTGTAGAATCGTCGAGCATTTGATTTAGGCGTATTTTAAGACGTAAAACCATTTCATATTGATTTAGTACAAAATCAAACACCGATTTTAACATGATATCATACACACCTCAACACATGTAGGTATATACGTAGATTTCAAATAAAATCTATATAATGCAAAATAGAAATTGATATTACATACGTTACTATATTGACTGTCGTACTAGTGTATAATTTGCTTTTTTAAATTAATTTTTATCACAACCATTGTGCTGATAGATAGGTAACATTTTCTTATAAATAACACAAGTTGTAAGACTTCAGATGACATACAACATAATAATTTAATAGCTCTGACATGGCTTTAGGTCATGGTTTGGGTATTTCAAAGAAGGGAAATTATAATATGATTATTAATTTTAAAATAATACAGAAATAAATAGGTACTGGTGATGTTAGTTGTAGGTTAGTGTTGTGCATTATCTAGATAAAAATATTTATATTTTATTTTTATTTTTATCTTATAGTTATTGGTAAAAATTAATAATAGAAGTATCTTTTTGTCTATATATCTATTTATATAAGATGGTTATCTGAGTTAAATTCTCTAGTTAATTTTTGTGACAAGATTTTCAATTTTGTTTTTATACATATATTTTTTGTTGGGGATGAGGGTGTTTATTTTCTAAGTTATTGGCGATTCGTTTATTTATTTGATTTTTACATTTTATGTCTTTGCTTTGGCACATAGAATCGAAATCGAAAAACGTTACGTTACGTTACGCTTTGTTTATCACCATAGTAACTATTAAAAAATTATAATGTATAATATAATATAATTATATTGTATACCAATAGCAGTCGTGTCTTTATTTGTTATCAATTATCCTATAGATATTACCTAGGTATGTGCTACATATGTTAGCAAGGACTGCAAAGACATAAAATGTGGTAATTCATTGCAGACTCGTATGCAATTTTTTTGTGCTTTTTTCTCTATTTTTTTCGATGTCATTTTACAGTTATAGTCATACCCATAAAATTGGTGTCCTTAAAAAATTGTTTTTCATCCATTTTATGTTCACTTAACGATTGTGTGATCAATCGTTGTACATCGGTATGACAGTATTAAGTTACTAACTAATTATTGGTTAAACATTTTAACTATCATCTTATCCTATAGGACATAATATTATCCTATATACAAAAAAATAAAACTATACCTATTTTTGTATAACAACTATAAAACACAATAATAGGTATTATATAGACAGTTTTGGAAGTGATCACAATTGCACATCACATATTATACATTTATAAACTGTCATTTCCTAAGAAAAATCATCAATATTATATTACATAGAAACACTAATAATGAGGAAAACGGTTGCCAAAATGTGCTTTGATACATCGATAAAACTGGAACTCTACCGATAGCATGTTTTTTACAACAAAAACATTATCATTCATTTATTTTATTGTGCGTTGGTAGGTATATTATAATATATAATTAGTATGCATTTTTTTTTTCACACGTATGCATATTACCTACTTACCTGTACAACTGACTCTTGGAACATAATTTCTTTTTCATTACACTACTCACTTCAAATAATATAATATTTGGGCCTTACGTAATTATTATTATTTTTGTTTTTTTCAAAGATATAAATAATAATAAATATAAATTTCCCCACATAATACATACAAACACACATGCGTGCACGCATATAATATTACGCACACACACATATATTATTATTATATCTATCACGAATAAACACATTTAATATGATAAAGAAAAAGAAAAGTTACACGTAAAACGGTGTCACGTGATCGCGTGCAAATAAATTTTCCCGGCGGGTGGCCGAGTGGATATTTCAAGCGCACAAATAAAAACGCCAAGGTATTTAATTCTGCCTTCTACCTACACCTATATATATATATATAATATATTATATACACGAGTACATAATATATAATATGTATATACCTGCTATATATATACACACACACACACACACACACCGGTCTCTGACACACGCTATATGCCTCGACGCCCCCGAAAACATTACAGGTGTCAGGTCAACGACTATGAACGCGAAAAAAAAAACTTTCGCAACAATCGCTCTATATTATGTACATGCAATTTGTGCGTTTATCATAAAAGCGATCGCAAACTTTGAATTTTTTTTTTTTTTATCGTTATTATACTCTTTCCGCGTGATATACGGAATTATTATTATCACTTTCGACTGCGATCATTCAAGTTCGCGTATTATTATTATTATTATTATTATTATTACTATACACATTATATTATACCTACCCGCGTATACATTATATACCCACCACTATTATTATTATTATTACGACGTACTATATATAGGCAGTAATATCATGTACAGTATATAATATTATCGCAATAAAAAAAAAAAAACATACACACACGCCACGGCACGATAAAAACTTGATTTTTTTTACGCAGTAGGTAATTTACCTTCCGAGAACAATATTTATTGTTATTATTTCCCGTACGTGAGGGTACATATTATACATATTTTATAATAGTAATCGTCTCTATTTGACGGTCTCCGTTTCCAAGTTCGTAAATATAGGTGTACTTACTGTATAAGAAATGTTTTTTTATAGTGAGTGTATGAAATTGTTGATCAAAATATTGTATCTGTAGAAGTAGATGGAAAGAGTTAATAAATATATATATAGGTATATTTAATTTTTTTAGTTTTTTTTTTTTTGAGTTAAGGATTCCACAACTATACGGTCATTATCCTGGAGGGGATTTTTAGTCGGTTTTTACTATGCAGGAGGGTGGGAAGCAAAACCGGGGTGGTCATCCATCTGGAAGCTAGCTACGCAGGCCGATGCTTGATCTCAGAACACGTTAGTGACGGAGGTCAACCACAGGGCCACACTTAAATATTAATATATTATAATACTATGAACTATCAAACGGATATTTTACTATCTAGCGGTAGGCTAATCAAATATTATTTTTAATTTATTATTTCCCTGAATATATTTTTTTTTTTTTTTAGAAATCCATGTCCAATTTAAGAAATATAGGTAATTAGTAATATATTATGTAATCATACAATAATCGTTTAAAGAATACCAAAACGTAAATATATACATTTATACCACAAACCACTAGTCACCACGTTTAATTAAAATAATATAACATATTATTATACTCTGCAATCTGCTGCATCGAACAATCATCTTTGACTTATCAGTATAGGTATATATTATATATTTTTTTTCAATACAATTGCATTAGAACGTTAAACAGTTTAATCGTTTCCGTTGGTTTAAATTTAAAAATAAAAGAAAAATTTGCCAAAATATTTTCGTGGAATAAATCGAATGATATAATATCTAATATAATTGTTTAGGAAAACGACAGTGACTCGCGTGTTAAATAACTTACAATTCAGTCAGTAATAATAGAATTAATACCTCTAACGATTCCGAAATATTTTCATCTACAGTAGCACATGAATATTTACTATTTAGTAAAGAAATGTATTATTCAAACGGTAGAAACGCTTTGTTGTTAGCGTAGTAGGGTTGTTGAGCACGCAATATATTGCATAGCTGTTTCACGAGTCGTTATTATCATTGTTTTTATTTTATTTTTTTATTGTTATTTATCTTTTCACTTGTCCTCTCTGGAACAAAACACGTTAAGTATATGATGATAGCATACGTACACAATAAATTGTAATAGTGAAGGCTGCATCAAACAATAAAACGCATATCATATACTATAACAAACATAGGCGATCGTAGTAATAGTTGGCTTTTGTATATTATAAATTGTAATAGTAGGTACTTAGTAAGTGTAGGTATGTGCGTAATATAAAAAAGGGTGATTCACCAAGCACGCTCACCCCCTTTTCTTGTTAAATAACGTTGTTGTTCAAAACCTGATTTTTTGGAATTTTTAAATAGACTTAAAGGCCATAATATTTTCTAATTCCTTGGATTTTTTTGTAAAAGAAGTGTCCTGTGGATACAAAATTTTGTTTATCAAAATATGTAAACAGCTTTTTTTTAATGTAAATTATTTAGGTGATAATTTTTCTGATTTTTCTAATTTCTCGAAATTTGAACGAGTTGTTCGGTTTTATATATAACTTTGAGTAGGTACCTACTAAAGGTATTTATATTTATTTTATTTACATCTATTTTTTAAAACTATTTTCAATGACTTATAAGTATAAACATTTTAATAATTGAGACGCTACAGGTTTGCATTTTAAATTAAGTAGTAGGAGTACATTCAAATTTCCAAAAAAATTATTCACTAAATAATGTACACTATAAAATCGGAATTTGAATTAACTAATTACGTATTAAACAAAAAAATGTGAGATGAACATGCTTGTTGAACCACGCTGTATATTACATAAATGTTGTAAAGTTATAGACTGAAACGTTATACGCTTTTGTGTATCGAAATACATTATGGGTCATCTGAATGCCGAGAGTGGGTGATCATCATTATAATTTATATTATATAAATATGTAGTCATGTAGATATATTTTATAATATATGTATACCTATTATAGGTACACATAGCATTATAGCTGTTCTAGAACTGTTCAACTATAATAAGTTCAAAAACAGATAATTTTCAAGCGTA